GCCCCCAAGGAAGAGGGGAAGGAGGAGGAGGAGGCTGCCCACCGGGCCAGGCCAGTCCCTGCAGAGGACTCTGACGGCGGTGCGGTGCGGTGGAAGAGCAGAAGCCCCTTTCCTCTCCCTCTCCCGGGAAGGGACGGGAAGGGCCTCACCAGCTGCCACCCGCACACCACTCCAGCCAGGTTGGGGACCGCAGCGGGGCCTTCCGCACAGGGCAGGGATGGGAGAGTCGGCCCTAGGTGCTCCCTGAAGCCGAGCTCACACTTTCCAACCGAGAGGGGACAAATGATTATCAGGGACCTGAAGGGCCTGCTCGGTGCGGGTGGAGGAACCAAACAGGACAGCTTCCAAAGGGGAGCTGCCCACCCGCTCAGCACCCGCCCACCCGCTCAGCACCCGCCCAGCTGTCCATCCCACCTCTCACACGCAGCATTTTACTTAGTTATAACACAGTACAGGAAAGCAGGGAGGTCATGAAAAGCCACGTGATTAGCACCCCAGGAGCTGCTGTGAGTTTGTGGCAATCCTCCTTAAAACATTCCACTAGCAATTTATTTTCACGTCTCTTAAAAGGAAAAAAGGCACTCAAAAAATAAAGAATGAAGTTACCAAAGGAAGAGACACCAGTTCGTAAGAGGAGGGTTAAAGCACCACGACCCAAGCTTGGGTCGCCCCTCCAGGGAGACATGTCTGCCCTCCCTGGGGATGTCCCTGGGCACCAGTGTCTCTTCACACAGGAGACACTCCACTGCAAGTCCCTGGGCAGAGAAGGAGCAGTCCCCCCAGGGGGAACTGAGGCACAGCACGCCTCACTGTTGTTTTTTGTATGGGGACTCGAACTCAGAACCTTGCACTTGTGAGGCAGGTGGTGTGCGCTGAGCTATATCCCTGGCCCTCCTGTACCTGTTCCTTGTGAGAGGAGTGACATAGCCCAGATGAGACCATGACCAGCTCGCAGCCTGGGGCGCTGAAAGTTCCAACATCGCGGGCCAGGGTCTCGCCAGAGTCCCTGTCTAAATCACTTCATGGCCGAGGGCAGTGGCAGGAGCAGTGTGGGAGAGGGAGCTGCAGGTGAAACAGGATGTCAGGCACTGCGGTCCACACCACCTCCTGACAGCTCTGCGGCTCCAGAGGGCTGGGGCCGCCTCGAGGCTCCCTGTCCTAGGGCCCGCTTCCTCGACACCGCCTGTGTCTAAGCACTCCTTGCTGCTTCTGCCCGGGACGCCGGGTCTCCAGCAGCTGCTCTGGCTTCCTCTCTGCGCACTGAAGACCAGTTTCCCCACGTGTCACTCAGAAACACCGAAGGAGCGGGGAGTGTGCGGTGCAGGTGGGAGCCCGAGACGCGCAGGACGTGGCCCCCGCCTGCAGAGAGAGGCCGTCTGGATTAACTTCCTGTCGTCCTGTATCTCTGCCTTACGGAAGGAAGGAAACCATCCAGCCCAAACCACAAATCTCAGTTTCCCTCCATGGTGAGAAAGTTGTCGGTGTGCTAGGACGCTGCTCGCTGTGATGGGTTTTACACCCCCCCATGGTGGGGATCGCTGACCCCACAGCCGTGTGTGGAAGGGTCCATCACCAGTCAGTGATGCTGTGGGAGTGGCAGCACCCTTCAGGTGGGTCCCAGAGGGAGGAGGTGAGGTCCTAGGGGCGGGCCCATCCTGCGTCCTTACTGGCCCGGGCTGTGACTAATTTCCTCAGGCGACACCCCTGCCGTGGTGTGCTGCCTCCCGTAGGCCTGAGAGCCACAGAGCCGAGACCCACACCGAAGCTCTGAGCCCAAATAAACCCCTCCTCCTCCTACAGCGTCACCCGGGTGCGTTGTCAGAGTGGCGGAAAGCTGAGCCGCACAGCCGGTTAGCGATGCCCACGCAGAATGGTGAGGGGCCAAAGGGCGCAGGAAGTCTGTGGTCCAGCAGAAGTGCATGGTGGCACAGAGGGAGATCAGCATCTACGTTCTGGGCTGTCTGCCCACATGTACCCCCGGAGTCCCTTCTCCCCTCTACCCCACAGGCACGCACCTCCCTTGGTGACCTGCGGTCCAGGACCCAGCGGCCAACAAGAGGGGACAGCAGGGCCCATGTCAGTGAACGCATAGCTCAGTGAGGCCAAGGCCAAGGGAGAGAGTACCTGTGGGACTGCAGGGACGGAGGGACAAAGTCACAGAGCAGTGGGGTAGGCAGTGCCCAGGCCGCCCCTCACCCCGCCGCCACTCACCACCTCTCTAGCTCTTCTGTGTGCTGTGTGCAGTGGCTCACCAGGACTTAGTCCCATAAGCTCTGAAGAGTCCCGATGCACCAGACTCCATGGCGGTGCAGGACTCTGGCCAACACCCCGCCCAAAGCGTGTAAAGATCATGGCTCAATCACGCAGAGCGTGCTCTGATGTTGCCCATGTTTTTGTGCCTGGGCTAAAACTACTGTGGACTTCCTGTCTTCCACCCAAGGGGCCTGGCATCCTGGAGGGTCCCGATACTTCGAGCAGCGCTTGGACAGCATCGCTGGGATCCGACTGGAGACATGAGAACCCCCATTTCCATTCCCAAGGAGCAACAGGGCTCCTCCCTGGGGGACTGCGGTCTTTGGGGTTTTCACCGCGCGCACTTTGCACACCAGGGTGGCCTCCCAGCAACGGCCCTCCACCCTGTGTGTTTGCGCAGCCCTGCACCATCGAGCTCTCAGCCGGACGTGGGTATGGTGAGCAGTTTGGCCTCTGCAAGACTCCACGTCTAAGGAGGTCGTGTTGAGAGCACCGAGCATTATGGAGTCTGACACTGTCAATTTTATGTGGCACAAGTCACGTTTTGCGTGGCATGGAGAAAAGCCATAAACCTGCGGACAGTCCCAGAACAGAAGAATGTTCCAGAAGACGAATGCTCCCCATGATCCACCGCAGCTCTGATAGGCAGCCCTGCTCCTGCTGTGGAGGGACACTTCAAGCAGGTGCCTTTGGGGGGTTCGTAGAAAAATGCAGGGGCTAAGATTTGCTCTGCTCCAGAGAGTGGGCTTCTCTGAAGCCCATGAAAACCTAACGTCTAAGTCAACCCCGTGTTTATCAGGCTCAAGGTTAATTGTCAGACATTTAGATTCGAAGGCTCTGACTGAGCACGACTGAGCGCACGAGAGGGGAACCGGTCATCTGCACAGAGCTTGATGCAGAGGTTCCTTCCTGGAGCTGCTTCTGTCTTCTCCTCAAAACTCCTGAGCATGGCGGAAATACGAAGAGCTCACAGCAGAAGACAAGTCATTCACACCCTGAGCGCACAGCTGCACCGCGGCCCCGAGATGAAGCCAGTCATGTTCCCCCGGACGTGCTACGCTGCAGAGGGAGGGCAATTTCCAAGCCCCCGGCCTGAGGTGACCCAGCCAAGCTCCCCGCCTGCAGAGGCGGGAGGACCGGAGCTTGTTACTGATGCGGTGGACTCCACACCAAACACGGCAAGTGCTCAGGATGGCGAAGTAACCGCTCCCGGGAGTTGTGTTCGCGCCTTCAAATGCACTGTGAGAATCGCTAATTCATTCCCAGCGGCCTCTTGTCTTTTAATGGATTCCGTGGGTTGGGCTGGAGTCTGTATTCAGCGCTGAGCATACATGGGACCCAAATGGCTCCTGTCTCCCACGCCGGCGGGGCCGCTTCCGTGTGTCCTATTCTCCGACCCTTGCTCCGTAAAGAACCAGGCAAGTGGGGCCATGTGGGACCTGCTGTCTGTCCTCACCCAGCAAGGTCTGTCTGGTTTTCTGGTGTGAGATGCGCCGGGAACAGGGCACAGAGGAGAGCTCCTCTTAGCAGGGGAGGTCGGGAGGAGGGGGTGCGGGCAGGCTCAGCTGGACGCTGCCTAGGGAGGACGGGGCGGGTGGGACGGGGAGCTGGGCTCCTGCGAAGGAATGGGTTTGTAGCGGGAAAGAGCCCGGGGAAGGGGCTGAGGGGCCCCAGGTCGTCTCCTCCCACCACGGCCAGCTCCGGGAGGTTTGGTGAGGCCCAAGGGCACTGGCACAGAGACGGGTGAGTGAAAACCCCAGCCAAGCCCAAAGCCTGTGAACTCAAAGCGGAGAAAGTAAAGGTTTCTAGTAACAGTAGCCATCACCCAGCGTCTCTCAAGCAGAGAAAGAGGCAGTACTGGAAAGCAAACACACAAACCAGACAAATAAAACCAAACCAAAACCCAGGGCAGAAGTAGAAGCGCCAGGCAGAGGGAGTGCGGGGTGGGAGTGCATGCCGGGGGGTGGATGCCATGGTAAGCGTGGGCAGCAGCGCCAGCTGTGAGAGGTGCAGCAGACGTGGGGGCCGCCTCTGTCATCCGCAGATATTTTGAAGTCGTCTGCCTGTGCGAAGCCTAAGTCTGCACGGTTGCCCGGGTCTAACTCTCCCCGTAACACGGAGATCCCCGACCCCCTTGCTTTTCTGTAGCCACCCACTCCAGCCCCCTGCG